ATGCCAATAGAAAAACACAAACTCCAGCTAGTTTGCTGTCATTCCAGCTTCAGTTGAGTGATTATGTTAGCTGTGTATTAGGCTAACTCCTCTGAATAGTGTCCTGGAGAGAGAGCACATTTTCTATGCCAGGCGAAATCGCGCATCGAGTCATTAGCTCATTGTTATGGATGTATCCCCCCAAAAAAATCAATAGAAAACAGCTTCGACGTGACTGTGTTAGCTGAAGTTGCCTAGCTAGCAAGCAAGGGATAAGAATGTTGACAGCCATCATGGCAATGGAACATTTAGAATGAATGACCAGCCGGCTTAGGTACCAACCCTAGATTTGTGTCGGGACTACACTGGGTATACCAAACGGCCCTCTGGTTCGTTCAGCCATCCCTATGGGAAAAATGAAAGGGGAAAGAATAGGGTTTTGGAATAAACGCTGAAAATAAGGTCTGAATTTAACACAGGCTTATGAGATCTTATATGTTTTTACTCTATGCGATAATAGCAGTCAGTTAACATGACGTTTATGAATTATGAAGTCTTTATGTGATTTTTATTATTACATAAATTCTTCAAAATTCACAAAAAGTGATGTTAGCCGATGAAGATTATCTCATAGAACAAAACGTATAAGATCTCCTAAGCCTCTGTTTACCACAGACCTTATTTTCGGCGTTTATCCAAAAACCCTACAAAAACGCCATTAATTTTCCTCATAGGCTTTGTCCAACGAACCATGGCGGAGTTATTGCCTACAAAAAGACGCGATTACTATTTATCTCTATAGAGACAACATGTCAATTGTATTTCGTCTCCAATATTTATTGAAAATATAAATTAATTTGCACAATGAGCGCTTGCTGTCTCTCCAATACATCGTTAAGGTACAGTTTTTGGTTAGCTAGCTAGCAAATTTTTGCATTATTAGCATTAACATGAAATGAGTCAAAACACCTCAAAACAAGACATGGTATCAATAACAAGATGAACAAGCCACTTATGACCCCACATGGCAGTTTATTTTCATTCTGGCTAGCAATCTGAGCTCCTGAGTGGCGCAGTGGTCTAAGGCACTGCATCGCAGTGCTAACTGTGCCACTAGAGATCCTGGTTTGAATCCAGGCTCTGTCGCAGCCGGCCGCGACTGGGAGACTCATGGGCGGCGCACAATTTGTCCAGGGTAGGGGAGGGAATGGCCGGCAGGGATGTAGCTCAGTTGATAGAGCATGGCGTTTGCAATGCCAGAGTTGTGGGTTTCGATTCCCATGGGGGGCCAGTATAAAAATAAAATAAAGAAAATGTATTCACTAACTGTAAGTCGCTCTGGATAAGAGCGTCTGCTAAATGACTTAAATGCAATCTGGCCATCCAGATTCACCACAACACGCTGACTTCTGCCCCATGGAAGCGCACATATCATTTTCGGGACATTGTCAGCTAACCCATCTATGCATGGCACAGTGGAGATTGCAAAAAAATAACTACTGCATGTTGCACAGGTCAGATAGGCACACAGTGAGGCTTATCCTTTGGAAGTGAGGGAGAGTTTTTAGTGGACTATGAGATAAAACTGAGTTAATCACGAAAATATAGTTAGAATTCTCTGTTGCTAGGCAATAACTTAATTGGGTCATTTCACTGTGTGTGTGAAGTGGGAATCTGACCTAGGGTCGAATTGCTCGCTCTTACCTAAATCCATGGCTGTCCTACCTTATCAGAGACTGAAATCAGACTCTGGCCTTTTGCCTCTCTCCACAAACAAAGTGGAAAGAGCGACGCCAGGGTTGAACAGAGTTCAGGCTAAAAATGTGTCTCTCCTTGGCTATCTTCTTGATTGATTACAGCATGATGGGGTGGGGTTTGTGTATGTTTGAAAGATTAAGTGTGAACCTGTCATGTCCAACAATCAGTCTTCAGGTCAAGCACGGGAGAGCCGGGGTTGAACAGAGTTTAAACTGAACATGTTTTTGCATGACAAGGGCGTGACTGATTGTAATAATATTGTTTCTAAACTGAATGACAGTCAAATTTAGCCGCCATCATGGACAAAGGAAGTGGGCGGAGTGATAGAGAGCGGGAAACTGAAGAGGGAGGGATTTTAAGATAGGATGTGTGTGAATGAGACTATATAGAGGGGGAGCAGAGAGAGAGAAGGGAGACTACTCTGCAGACCAGTCCGGCTTTGTTGAATTGTAAATAAAGTCAATCTTGATTCTACAAAAACTCTGGAAGAACTTTGATTTTTAATAAAGTATAGTGATTATTTTCCACCTCATAATTGGCACCCCAGATGGGACTGGGCAAAGAGGTCTTTGAGTGCTTTGCAATCGGAGAAAGTTTGGGCGAGTCACACAGATACAGTGGCCACTGTTAAATAAAGGTAAGTGACGTTCTTACTATTAGCATGGAACTGTGTGATTCGATCAAGCTGAATCTGAGGGTAAGGTACGGAAGGGGTCTCTCCAGCATTAAAGACTAAAGTTAGGAAAAGTACAGAGTTTTTGTTGTAATGAGAAATAAGCATGCATGCAATGTTATTGTAGATAAGTGTAAATAAGTTTAAGCAGGCTAGCAGAGACGCAGGCTAGTAGAAGAAGCAGGCTAGCATAGATGCAGGCTAGTAAACAAGCAGGCTAGCATAGACGCAGGCTAGTGGACAAGCAGGCTAGTAGACACGCAGGCTAGTGGACGAGCAGGCTAATAGGAAGTAGGTTTGCTCATCCAGAGTAGGTGACGCATCATCCTGTGGTGGGGTGATGCACTAATTAGACAGCTAATCGGGTAAAAAAGTAGGTCATCCTGAGTAGGTGACACCATAAATTGGAAGTCGCGCCGGTCATCTCAGGTAAGTGGACGGTTGTGAACAGCCACCAGGGCTTCAAAGTATAGAGAAATAACTAGATAGAGTAGGTCTGCTCATCTCGTATGGGTGAATGGTTTGCTTGAGCGGCTGTGAGTCATTCAGTGATTAAGGTGTATGTTTAATCTGTCTCATTCAGGTTGCTCATTTGGTCAGCTTGTTCAATTAGCTTTGTTCAATTGTCTGATACATTTGTTCGTCCTGCTGGTCATTCTGTCTTCTTATCTGTGTGAGTGATCAGACAATATGAAATGTAATAATAAGAAATCCGGCAAATAATAGCCTTTTCTGTGTGGTGGGAGTGTCAGGATAGGGACTATATTTGAGGGTACTTGAAGCTTCTAAGGCTGGTGGAGAAAGGGCAAGCCCAATCTTGCATTAGGAAGAGGATAATTAATAGTATGTGGGTATTCATTTACTAACGGAGTCTTTGCCAGGAGGGGTATGAGAGATCTTGTTGGAGGAACAGGTCACGTGTACGGGTGTGATCATATGTCGTCAACACATTGTATTTCAGCCAAGCTTTTAGGGGATCAATATATTTGGGAAATTTAGAAGGAGTGTAGGATTGTGGTAAAATTGACCATAGAAAAATGTCAAATGTGATAGGATTAACATTCCAAATTTGGGCACTTTTATAGAAGAAAATATTCCTGCAGGTTAAACGAATATTGATTGTATGTTGGGAAATAGCATTGTGTGAATGTGATATGAGAGTTGTGTGGATATGGGAATGACAAAACAAGCAAGTATAGTGTAGAGAATCATTGTACCATCTAAACCGCTGTGAAATATGTTTTCCATAATCAAAAATAATATATTTTCAGGTGTTTGAAGCTGGTGTACAAAACGGAAAGTAAAAAACGCAAAAACGAAACTTGAAAACGGGAAGCGTAGAAATAGCACACATAGAACAGACCTGCCGCTTCTTAAACTTGCTTTAAATGGGGATGACATATCTATAACTCACAATTCTATGTGAATTTTGTCTGGTAGCCCAAAAAGTTACATATTGCAGCTTTAAATTCAGAATAATGATACTGACCTTGGCCTTTGATGTATTGGAAGGTATCTAGAAATAACAAAAATGGGTCATTGTCATGCTCTTTTTACCATTATGAAAAATGAGAAAACATGAGATGGGAACACTTTACACAAGTTGGGGAAGCAGAATAGCCTGTAATGCATTCACGGCCATGTTATCAGGCAGTGGTCCTCCTTAGCTGAACAAAATGTCAAATAATGACAGAGAAAAATGTATAAATTGGATGATCAATGGAATGACACACTTATTATAACCATAAAATGTAGAAATATCAAGAGTTCCTAAAGTAAAAGACTAAAAGAGGGGAAAGAAGAAGAGGAATATCCTGTAGCACAAACAGATGATGGAATTTGGAATGGAGGAATAACTCACCAAAAAGGAGGATGACCAAAAACAGATGACCAGCCATATCAGGGATGAACAATGCCATTTTTTAGAGAGCTACATACATACTGTTAGTCTGACTTCACAGAATATGGTGGCTGTGACTGGGACATAGAATAAATGTTTCAATAGAGAAGTAGATGTGGAGCTTGTTCACAGGAAAACCACATAAAGCAAGTGTGATAAAATGTTGCAGAGAACAGGGGGGCTGAACATTCAGAATCATTTATCAGTCATTAAAGCTTTTTGTCTTTAACAGATATTATTTTGTATCATTATTGGCGTCAATTCGATTTTTAAAACCAACAAACTAACTTGTCTGTCTGAGTAAAATATTTATCTTGACTTTTTGTTTTAAGTTTTTGACAGCTGCACAAAGTTTATTACAAAAACCCTGCATTTGTGGTTGAGAGTTTTATGATCTCTAAAATGTATAAGGGTTTTCATATTTCATTTATGTTTGGTGAGTCAGGAAGGAAGGAACGGAACGGAACAGAGGCCAGAAGAAATGTGAGTTCACACTACTCGGACTGATCAGTTTACCTTTACAGCTGTGACTGGTACTTAATTGTCAGCACATGTTCTGATAAACCACGTGCTCTGCGGCCGTGTTGCTTGAAGTGCATAAAATTGAACGTGTGTAGGCTGAGAATGCAGTTGCTCTGTTTTTAAACTGACGTTTTCATATAGCCTAATTTTGAGATTAACCGTTTGATCATGCCACCTAAAAAAGCAGCAGCCACGGAAGAAGTAACTTCATCTTCTGATGTGCCCATAAAATATGAGAAAGTGTCGGGAAAAGCTAAATCAGGTTTGTAAAACCATGTGCGGTTTAGGCCAATTTGAGTAACCTAATATTACGGCTATTTGGTTAGATTACGGTTGATACATTTGCCAATTTCATTGTGTTAGAATCCAGCAAAGCAATTGCTGTGGCACGGAAAACCCCTCTTCATCCACCGACGATGGTGATGGTCAAAGAAGCGCTGAAGGAGTTGGACTCTCGAAAGGGGTCTCTTCGCAGGCCATTCATAACAGAGACATATCCATCTGTGGACCTGGTGAGGTTGAAGTACATGATACGCAAGACCCTGAACAAAGGAATCGAGGACGAGGTATTGGTGAGGCCACCTACCTCGACTGCAAATGTTGTGACCCATGCATGTCGTCTTAAAGTAAATGCCCAGTGTTTCCAGATTTCTATGAAATATGACCTATAATTTACAATATGAGTGAAATGGTTTAACTTCCCAAATTGTAATTGAGTATGTTAAAGCAGCTTTCCTGTTTGAATGGTGTGGGTGTTTATTTATATATAACTACAGTAGGCAACTAAATACAATTTCCAGTGGCATACTGACTCACGTAATGAAGAAGCCAAGGGCTCCTACTCATGCTGATGGCCAATGAACACCTCTTGGCAATAGCCTATCTCAAGATGAGCTACTTTGAAAGATAGTGCTGCTAGTCACAAAAAATTGGGAGTTGAGAATTATATTGGTTCTACAGACAGTCTTCTGTTTCCGCAGTAGGCATTTGCTTTATATTGGTTCTACAGACAGTCTTCTGTTTCCGCAGTAGGCATTTGCTTTATATTGGTTCTACAGACAGTCTTCTGTTTCCGCAGTAGGCATTTGCTTTATATTGGTTCTACAGACAGTCTTCTGTTTCAGCAGTAGGCATTTGCTTTATATTGGTTCTACAGACAGTTCTGTTTTCAGCAGTAGGCATTTGCTTTATATTGGTTCTGCAGACAGTCTTCTGTTTCCGCAGTAGACATTTCCTTTCCAAACTGTTTATCCCACGATTTGTATTTTGAAATGTGCAGAAGGCAAACAGACAGCTACAACCAACCATATAAATATAATCCATAGATGGCAGTTCCCATTCAAATCAGGACTGGCAGCCATTGCCAGTGTACCCATGAGTTACCACTCAAATTGCCAGGTTAAGAGGTTCCAAAAATCGATGTATTATGTCTATGGCCACAACACAACAAGCTGTATATTTGGCATGCATGCTGCCCAAATTGCGGCCTTCCCGACTGTAGGCTTCTTTCTTCTTCAGTGGGGTTTATCGGCAGTAGGTATCCAACGTTATGGTGCATTACCACCACCTACTGTGCTGGAGTGTGGGCCAGAGACAGTGAGAAACTAAATCCTAGCTGCCAGCCCCGTTTCTCTTAAAAAATATAACAAAATACTTGAGACTATATCTAATGACGTTCTACTCAATATACTCTTTAAACTAATTTCCTGTATCCCCTTCTCCCTCATACTAGATCTCATCCTCTCTCTTTCCCTCTGATACTGCCCACACTGTAGCAATACATGCTCCACGGTCTCTGTTTCCTGACAATAATCACACTTTCTTGTTGGATGCTTTCCTATCACATTTAATGTCTAATCAACTGGCTGTGTCCCACCCATAATCTTGTAAAAATAGCCTCCTCTCTTCTGTCCCTTCCTGCTGTCCTCCCCTCCCTGACTTTCCTCTGTACTTGAAATAAATGCCTTCCCTTATTATCTCTATTCCACTGCTTCTGCCAACGGTAGCTCAATTGGTAGAGCATGGCGCTTCCAATAGTGGGTAGTGGGTTCGCTCCCCGGGACCACCCATACGTAAAAATGTATGCACACATGACTGTAAGTCCCTTTGGATAAAAGCGTCTGCTAAATGGCATATTATTATTATTATTATTATTATTATTATTAATAATATTATTATCTCTGCACCATCACTTTATATATTAGTATTTTTGCCTCTGCCTTGCTCATTGAAACTTCAACGTCAACATCCCCACTACTAAGTGCTTGTTTAGCCAATTCATCTAATGCCTCGTTCCCCTCCACCCCCACATGGGCTGGGACCCAAGTAAATCTTATCTGAATACCCATCTGTTTAATCCTGCCATGGGTTTTTAGCACCTCATAAAGCAGGTCTTGTCTGCTATGTGAGCTAAAGGACTGGAGACTCATTAACATGGCACATGAATCAGAGCAAATAACTACTCTGTCTTGTTTGACTTCCTCCACCCACTGCAAGGCCAACAGTATGGCCATCAGCTCCGCCGTATATACATCCAGATTATCTGTAATATGTTTCCTGACTTCCACCCCACATTCCTGCACTACAAATGCTGACCCAGTATGTCCTGTCCTTGGATCTTTTGAACCATCTGTGTAAATGGCCACAAAATCCTGATACAATTTCCAGAAGTCTCTTAAAGAAATCAGCTGGATCAACACCCTCCCTATCTTTCTGTAGTCTCTCCAACACTTCTAGATCAACTACTGGAGGCGGGAGTAGCCATGGTGAATTTACAGGAATAACTACCGTTGGACTAAACTCCTTTTCATACAGTCCCATCTCCTTCGCCTGGGTATTACCCACCCACCCAAAGCTTGTGTTCTGTCTTCGCTCATGTTCCCAGCATGCCTGTAAAATCCCTTTCGCAGGATAAGACAACCCATGTCCTTGTAGGTTGACCCAATAATTCATTGCCAGCTGCTGTCTCCTAATCTGCAATGGCATATCCCCCATCTCCACCTGTATGCAGCCACTGGGGACGTCTGAAACGCCACACTACGTATTCTGAGTCCTTGCCCCTGTATGACATCTAGCCTTTCCAATGAGGTCCGGGCTGCCGAACCATACGCTATACTGCCATAATCTATTACAGATCAGATCAATGCAACATACATGGTCTTCAATGAGGAACACCCAGCCCCCTACTCCTTCCCCATCAGACAGCGCATCACATTTAGCATCTTCTTACACTTTCCCACCACTCTCTCAATGTGTTCTGTCCAGGTCAGTCTAGTGTCAAAGTATAGCCCAAGGAACCTGAAGGCCCCCACCCTCTCTAAGTTTCTCCCATATAACCTCAAGCATACCTAATCTCCCACCTTCTTCCTGGTAAAGAACACTGTTAGATTTTTCCCTACAGAGAACCTGAATCCCCACATGAATGCCCACCGCTCTACCTCATCAATTGCTTCCTGTACCTTACTGACTATGTATGGCACATTTCTTCCCCTCTTCCATAAGGCCCCATCATCTGCAAATAACGACCTCCCTATATCCGGCTGTACCTGAGAGTAACCATCATTGATCATGATTGAGAACAACAGAGGACTAATCACGCTCCCCTGTGGTGTACCGTTATCCACCAAGTAGCTGCCTGATAAAGACTTCCCCACCCTCACCTGGATAGACCTTCCAAACAGGAAATCCTTTATCCAGTTGTACGTTCTTCCTCCTACCGCCATAATATCAAGCTTGATTAACAACCCCTCCTGCCACATCATATCATATGCCTTCTCCACATCAAAAAAGACAGCTACAACAGCCTCCTTGTTCCCCTGAGCCTTCCTGACCTCTGCTTCTAAGCAGAGCACTGGATCCATAGTTCCCCTACCATTCCTGAACCCACTCTGATGTGGCGATACTAGCCCTCTGCTCTCCAGGAAGTAAGTTAGCCTCTCCGTAATCATACGTTCCATAATTTTACATACATGTGATGTAAAAGCTATTGGCCGATAGCTTGTTGGCTTCGTTGGATCCTTCCCGGGCTTCCGGATTGGTACCACTACTGCCTCCTTCCAGCTGCCTGGTAGTTTCCCCTCCTCCCACACTCTGTTGTACAACACCAATACCTGATCCAATGCCTCATCACTAAGATGGGCCAACATAACATAGCACATCTCATCTTTCCCAGGTGAAGTTAACCCAGCCTTACCTATTGCTCTTTTCACCTCTGCCCTGGTAAATGGTGCATTCAACGCATCATTTACATCCTCCCTCCTATCCAGCACTCCAGGATGCTGCTCTCTCATGTTCTCTCTCCCCCTCCTCTGACAGATTTGCGGAGCTATGCACTTGGACAAATGCTTTGGCCATCATCTCTGCTTTCTCATCTGTTACTGCCACATCCTCCCCACTCGTCAACACTGGATAATCCCACTCTCTTCTGACCCCACTCATCCTCTTAATCATCCCCCACACTTCTCCCACAGGTGTCGCCCTTCCAATGGTGTCACAGAACCGATGCCAACATGACCTCTTTGCCTGACGGATAGTTCTCCTCACCAGGGCCTGGGCCTGCTTATACTGAATCAGATGTTGGAAGTTGTGTGTCCTTTTCAGTACTCTAAATGCCCTGTTCCTACTCCTCACCAATGCCCCACATTCCTCCTTCCACCATGGGACTGCTTTCCTCCTCCCTGAACTCTTAGGTATAGCCTCAGTAGCTGCCCCCACTAATGCTGTTCTCACCCAGTTATTCATACTATCCACATCCCCTCTCATATCCACCTGAGCCATCACCTGCTCACTCAGCTCCTGAAACTGATCCCACTTTGCCCTTCCAAACACCCACCTGCCTACTCCATCCACTGACGCCTCCTCCCTCCGGCCTACTGTACATACAATGGGGTAATGATCACTCCCTACTGTCGACTCCTCCCATACCTCCCACTCACATATTCCTGCCATCGCACTAGATACCAGAGTGAGGTCCAAGGCAGACTCTTTCCCTGTGGATACATCAATCCTGGTCCCTCGGCCATCATTCAGGCACACCAGATCTTTATTTTCTATCACATTTCCATCACTTGGCCATTTCCATCCATCTGTCCGTCCGTCCCAAAGCGTGTTGTGGGCGTTAAAATCCCCACACCACATTACCTTACTTCTTTCCTGGCCCTCCACCCTCTCTAGCACTTCCATGTCCAATATCTGACACTGATTATAGTAGTTCACTAAAACTAGCACCCCTCCTCTCAACCACACCTCCACCACCACATACTCCTGTTCAATACCTTTGCCTATCATCTTGTAGGGAATTCCTTGCTTTATGAAAGTGGCACATCCCCCGGTCCTTGAAATGTAACACAATAGACGTGCTATCTACCCTAACTCCACCCCTTGTTGCTTGCAGTGTTTGTACATTCACTAGAACGCCTCCTTTCAAATTGTCCCTTACCTCTTTAGTGCTAACACTCACAGGCACTCTTGGTATCACCCCTTTAATCCACTGCTTCCCTGCTTGATCAGTTCAGCTGCTCGACTCCACTTTACACTTCCCTATATGCTTCACTCAGAGCTTTTTCCTTACAGAACACCAACAAGCTCCCATCTCTTAACACTTTAGTATTGACAACTTCCCCAATCAACTGTTTTATCACTGCCGTCAACCTTATCGGACTCATCGCCCCCAACTCCCCCTTCCTCCCTAAACTTCAGAATCACTTTATGCTCCTCCTCACCTCCATGTTCCCCTCGCGTCTTATCTTGCCCTTCCTCTGCACTTTCTACCTCCGAACTTCTGCTAGCATTGGAAGCTAGGTTGCTCTCCTCAAACTTCCTTTTCTGCCTCCTCTCTGCCTCCATAGACCTCTCGCTCCCCTTCATACCCCTACTCTCTTTCTCTCCTGCTTTCTTTTTCTCTTTCTTACTCCCTCCTTTATTTGTACCGCTATGTTCCGTACTTGCTTCACTTTCTTCTCCATCAATATCTCCTACCATCTCTGACCCTATTCACAGCACAGCCGTGCCAAACCGCCGCCACACCGAGTGCAGTTAGTTCGTTTTTCAACAATTTTCCTCCAAGTTATGCTTTGGCTACAAATACGAGTATAGGATAAGTGATGGGGAAACTAAGCTTCCTGGAGCGTTGAGGTTTTCCAACTAATTGTGTCTAGGTTCATTACTCAAGGCTTTGATTAAGTGTACACTAGTGGTACCTGCGGGTCAAAATAATTTAGAGCAGCCAAATTAATATAGACGTCCCACACCCCATTGTGCAGTGTAGCCTTTTTGTCTTTACCAAGCAGGTGGTTGTTTGATGAAACAAAGCTTCAGACGTCATTGATCACGTGCTTCTGATAAAGTGATACAGTCATAGCACACTGCTCAGTGATTTCAACGCATGCCTCAGAGCTCAGGCATCAAACGTAACATCACTATATAGGATGAGTCCACAACATTATTTGGGTACGAGTTAACAGAATCTGAAAAAAAAGAAGATATTCACTGGACAGTTACTTTAATTGGCAACTAGGCTTCGTTAACCCAAGTAATTAAATCAAGGAAAATGTGTTCCAAGGTGTATGGACTTTAGTTTCTGAATGTGATAGTAGCTTACCTGCCAAATGAGCCTAACTTTATGGTACCAGTTTTGAATAAAGTTGAGTACCCTGCCTTCGTCTCTAAGTGCACCATCAAAGAGACCACGGGAAACATCGACTGTGAGGGCTGTGCAAGGTACTGGTAACACAGTTACCTTAACTGTATCTTAGGCACCGATAAACTCACTTAGCCTGTGTGTTGATGGTGTATACACTATACAGGGTAATTTCATGCGTTAGTGTAGTAATATTAAAAGCATCAACTGAATCAACGCAACGCAACTCTTTCTCGCTTTTTGTCTCTCTCTTTCTGTCTTTCATTACGTCTCTCTCTCCCTCATCAGATCTTTTTTAATTCAGCAAATTTCTAGTAGTAACCTCTTCATGGTCGTCGTGGACAACAAGTGTGACTGCAGCTCCGCCCCCCTGGTTTCCATGGATCCCATCGAGATTATGTATATCCTTTACTAAGCCTCAATAAGTTTGAGGAGTTTGTGTATTTTTAGTACAAAGCTTTTGAGTATTTTTTGTGTGTAGATGTTTAGTAGATGGGTTTTGTAAGTTAACAGTAAGTGAACTCTGAACTCACTTTTGTTTTCTGAGAACGTGAACAGCTTCTTCATTGTCAGAGGTATTAATACATTTCTCATACATGTAGGTATTTATGAAGCGTGCGTTACGGTTTTGTTTTCTCATCATGCTAGAATGATGTTGCAGAAACAGTCACCACAGTGTCAGTTAAATGTATCTGAGGTTCGCTTCATCATCAGTATTTATATCCTTAACCCCTCTGCACACAATGATTCTCTGCAATGTGATAGGCTGAAGTTTCAGAAGGACAGAAAGCGGCCAGAATCGTGTCATCCTTTCCATCCCGAGGTACGCAGTATGTAGATGTGTGTGTGCGTCTGCGTCACAATTCTGTGATTACACAAAAAGTACATGAATGCCTGTTTGAGTGTTTAATAATGTGACATTAAGCAAATGTGACCATCTGTATATTGTCTGAACCATATAGATATATAGCATACAGTGGGGAGAACAAGTATTTGATACACTGCCGATTTTGCAGTTTTTCCTACTTATAAAGCATTTAGAGGTCTGTAATTTTTATCATATGTACACTTCAACTGTGAGAGACGGAATCTAAAACAAAAATCCAGAAAATCACATTGTATGATTTTTAAGTAATTAATTTGCATTTTATTGCATGACATAAGTATTTGATCACCTACCAACCAGTAAGAATTCCGGCTCTCACAGACCTGTTAGTTTTTCTCTAAGAAGCCCTCTTGTTCTCCACTCATTACCTGTATTAACTGCACCTGTTTGAACTAGTTACCTGTATAAAAGACACCTGTCCACACACTCAATCAAACAGACTCCAACCTCTCCACAATGGCCAAGACCATAGAGCTGTGTAAGGACATCAGGGATAAAATTGTAGACCTGCACAAGGCTGGGATGGGCTACAGGACAATAGGCAAGGAGCTTGGTGAGAAGGCAACAACTGTTGGCGCAATTATTAGAAAATGGAAGAAGTTCAAGATGACGGTCAATCACCCTCGGTCTGGGGCTCCATGCAAGATGTCACCTCATGGGGCATCAATGATCATGAGGAAGGTGAGGGATTAGCCCAGAACTACACGGCAGGACCTGGTCAATGACCTGCAGAGAGCTGGGACCACAGTCTCAAAGAACCATTAGTAACACACTACGCTGTCATGGATTAAAATCCTGCAGCGCACGCAAGGTCCCCCTGCTCAAGCCAGCGCATGTCCAGGCCCGTCTGAAGTTTGCCAATGACCATCTGGATGATCCAGAGGAGGAATGGGAGAAGGTCATGTGGTCTGATGAGACAAAAATAGAGCTTTTTGGTCTAAACTCCACTCGCCGTGTTTGGAGGAAGAAGAAGGATGAGTACAACCCCAAGAACACTATCCCAACCGTGAAGCATGGAGATGGAAACATCATTCTTTGGGGATGCTTTTCTGCAAAGGGGACAGGACGACTGCACCGTATTGAGGGGAGGATGGATGGGGCCATGTATCGTGAGATCTTGGCCAACAACCTCCTTCCCTCAGTAAGAGCATTGAAGATGGGTCGTGGCTGGTTCTTCCAGCATGACAACAACCTGAAACACACAGCCAGGGCAACTAAGGAGTGGCTCCGTAAGAAGCATCTCAAGGTCCTGGAGTTGTCACGGTTTCGGCCGAGGCTGCTCCTCTTCCTTGTTCGGGCGGACTTCGGCGGTCGTCGTCTCCGGAGTACTAGCTGCCACCGTTCGATGTTTCTTGTTCTTTTGGTTTTGTCTGTTCATAACACCTGTCCCTTATTTGTGTCTTGATTGTTCCCCTTATTTAGTTTGTTTGTTTGGGTCAGGTGTTATGCGTGATTGTTTATGTCAGCCTGCCTCTTCGAGTTTGTTCTCTCGTTGTGTGTTAATTACGAGAGCTCGCACTGTGTGCGCTTTTCCTTGTTTTCTCGCACTGTGTATTTCGTGCGTAATTGTTCGCGCCACCCGGTTGGGTTGGCGACTTATACTTGTGTTTGGACTTAGTAAAGTTCTGTTGACGTCCTCCTGGTTTCCTGCGCCTGATTCCTATCATCCACCTACACCATTCTGACAGAATCACGCATCACAATGGAATCAGCAGGAGCGACCGCGCCGACCGCCGATATGGACGAACGTCTTCGTGGTCAGGAGGACCGAATGAACCAGGTCTGTCACGCCCTGGAGAGGGTGATGAACACTCTACACCGATGGGAGACCAGCGGGGTGCCCACACCTCCAACCACCGACCCAGCTCCAGCGGTCAGCCCTCCGGTTTCATCTCCGGAACCCAGTGGGATTCGGCTCTCGCTCCCGAGGGCGTACGACGGCTCCACCGCCGGGTGTCAAGGGTTCCTGCTGCAGGTGGAGCTCTACCTCGCCACCGTACACCCGGCGCCCTCGGGACACGAGAGCGTCTCAGCCCTCATCTCCTGTCTCACCGGCAAGGCGTTGGAGTGGGCCAACGCCGAGTGGAGGAGAATGGACGCCGCAACCACGAACTATGCGGAGTTCTCCCGCCGCTTCCGTGCTGTATTCGACCATCCACCAGAAGGGAAGGCGGCGGGGGAACGTCTGTTCTACCTCCGACAGGGGATGAGGAGCGCACAGGACTTTGCCTTAGAGTTCCGGACCCTAGCGGCTGATGCAGGGTGGAATGAGCGGGCCCATATTGACCATTTCCGCTGCAGCCTCCGAGAGGACGTCCAGCGAGAGTTGGCGTGCAGGGACACGTCGTTAACTTTCGACCAACTGGTCGACATGGCCATCCGGCTGGATACCCTGCTCGCCACCCGTGGGCGTCCCGGAGGGGGGGGTTCGCCCATTCCACTCTCCAGCGCCTCCGAGCCGAGTCCTATGGAGCTCGGGGGTGCTGGCGCTAGGGAAAGGAGGAGGAGGAGCCCACGGGGACCCGGCCCTTGCACCAACTGTGGTCGTGGAGGGCACACTGCGGCTAGGTGCTGGGGCGGGTCCTCCAGGGGAGGAGATGGCAGGTCTAGCATTGGGGGGTCCCCCCAGGTGAGTAGGCGCCCTGCTTACCCAGAGCTTTCTGTCGTGCACCTAACCTTGCCTGTTTGTTTCCCACAGGTTGCACCTCGTTCCCAGCATAAGGCGCTGGTAGATTCAGGCGCAGCTGGGAATTTTATAGATCGCCAGTTCTGTTTAGAGTTAGGGATTCCCCTTCTTCCAGTGGATAAGCCTTTCCCCGTCCATGCCCTAGATAGCCGTCCGTTAGGGTCTGGGTTGATTAGGGAGGTCACAGCACCACTTCAGATGATGGCGCAGGAGGGTCATGAGGAGAGAATTCAGCTTTATCTGATTGACTCTCCTGCGTATCCGGTGGTGCTGGGTCTTCCCTGGTTGATGACTCATGACCCTATTATTGGGTGGCGAGAGAAAGCTCTTAAAGGGTGGTCTGCTCAATGTGAGGGGCGGTGTCTGGGTGTTTCCATAGGGGCGACCTCGGTGGAGAGTCCGAATCTAATGCCAGCACTGCAGATTCCCCCCGAGTATGAGGATTTGGCATTGGCGTTCAGTAAGACTAGGGCTGCGCAGCTGCCGCCTCATAGACGGGGGGATTGTGCGATAGATCTCCAGTCAGGCGCAGCTCTCCCGCGGAGCCATGTGTATCCCTTGTCTCAAGAGGAGAAAAAATCTATGGAGACATACATCTCTGAGTCTCTTAGACAGGGATACATACGGCCCTCCATTTCACCCGTTTCCTCAAGTTTCTTTTTTGTGAAGAAGAAGGATGGAGGTCTGCGGCCGTGTATTGATTACCGCGGTCTCAATCAGATCACAGTGAAGTACAGCTATCCACTTCCTCTGATTGCGACTATGACGGAGTCACTGCACGGTGCGCAGTTCTTTACAAAATTGGATCTTAGGAGCGCATATAACTTGGTGCGCATCCGAAAGGGCGATGAATGGAAGACAGCGTTTAGCACGACTTCCGGGCACTACGAGTATCTAGTCATGCCATATGGGTTGATGAATGCTCCCTCAGTCTTCCAATCCTTCGTTGATGAGATTTTCCGGGACATGCAGGGACAGGGAGTGGTTGTGTACATCGACGACATTCTGGTGTATAGTCCTACCCGTGCTGAGCATGTCGCCCTGGTGCGCCGAGTATTGCGGAGGCTGTTGGAGCATGACCTATATGTCAAGGCAGAGAAATGTCTGTTTTTTCAGAAGTCGGTCTCCTTTCTGGGTTACCAGTTATCTGCGTCAGGGGTGAAGATGGAGGTAGACCGGGTGTCAGCTGTGCGTAATTGGCAGACCCCAACCACTGTGAAGGAGGTGCAACGGTTCTTGGGTTTTGCGAATTACTACCGGAGGTTTATCCGGGGTTTTGGACAGGTGGCAGCTCCCATAACGTCTCTGTTAAAGGGGGGTCCGGTGCGCTTGCGGTGGTCAGCTGAGGCGGACAGGGCATTTGGGAGACTGAAGGACCTGTTTACCTCGGCGCCGGTGTTGGCGCATCCGGATCCCTCTTTACCGTTCCAAGTAGAGGTGGACGCGTCAGAGGCCGGGATAGGGGCCGTTCTTTCCCAGCGTTCTGGTACTCCACCTAAACTCCGTCCCTGTGCGTTCTACTCTAAGAAGCTCAGTCCGGCGGAGCGGAATTATGACGTAGGAGACAGGGAGCTGTTAGCCGTGGTACAGGCCCTAAAGGTGTGGCGGCATTGGCTCGAGGGGGCTCAACACCCTTTCCTCATTCAAACTGACCATCGTAACCTGGAGTACATCCGGGCAGCTAGGAGACTGAATCCTCGCCAGGCTCGTTGGACTATGTTCCTGGCCCGGTTTGTGTTTAAGATCACATACATCCCTGGGTCCCAGAACGGGAAGGCAGATGCTCTGTCCCGGCGGTATGACGCAGAGGAGAGGTCAGTTGAGTCCACGCCCATACTACCGGAGTCTTGTCTGGTTGCTCCGGTGGTGTGGGAGGTTGATGGTGAGATCGAGCGGGCGTTACGCACCGACCCGAGTCCTCCTCAGTGTCCTGTGGGTCGGACGTACGTTCCGCTCGAGATACGCGATCGCCTCATTTGTTGGGCTCATACGTCCCCCTCCTCTGGCCATCCGGGTATCGGCCGGACAGTGCACTGCCTTAGCACGAAGTACTGGTGGCCAACGTTAGCTAGGGATGTGAGGATTTATGTCTCCTCCTGTTCGGTGTGTGCCCAGTGTAAGGCGCCCAGACATTTGCCCAGGGGTAAGTTACAACCCCTGCCTATTCCACAACGACCCTGGTCCCACCTCTCGGTGGATTTTGTTACCGACCTTCCCCCCTCACAGGGGAGTACTACCATCCTGGTCGTTGTGGATAGGTTCTCGAAGACCTGTCGTCTCCTTCCCATGCCGGGTCTACCCACTGCCCTACAGACCGCTGAGGCTCTGTTCACCCATGTCTTCCGGCATTACGGGGTACCCGAGGATATAGTGTCTGACCGAGGCCCCCAGTTCACCTCTAGAGTGTGGAGGGCATTTATGGAACGGTTGGGGGTGTCGGTAAGCCTTACCTCGGGTTACCACCCGGAGAGTAATGGGCAGGTTGAACGTGTCAACCAGGATGTGGGTAGGTTTCTGAGGTCATACTGTCAGGGCCGGCCGGAGGAGTGGGCGAGATATGTGCCCTGGGCCGAGATGGCACAGAACTCTCTTCGCCACTCCTCCACCCAACTAACCCCGTTTCAGTGTGTGTTGGGGTACCAGCCGGTGCTGGCACCATGGCATGAGAGCCAGATCGAGGCCCCCGCTGTGGATGAGTGGGTAAGGCGCTCGGAGGAGACGTGGGACGCTGCACACGTCCATCTGCAGCGTGCCATACGTCGACAGAAGACGAGCGCCGACCTACACCGCAGTGAGGGGCCAGTGTACGCACCTGGAGATCGAGTCTGGCTCTCAACCAGAAACCTGCCCCTCCGCCTGCCCTGCCGGAAGCTGGGTCGGCGGTTTGTGGGGCCGTTTAAAGTCCTGAGGAGATTGAACGAGGTGAGTTATAGGTTAGAACTACCTGTTGACTACAAAAATATTAACCCCTCGTTCCATGTGTCTCTCCTCAGGCCGGTGGTAGCTGGTCCACTCCAGGACTTTGAGATTGAGGAGACTCCTCCGCCCCCGTTGGACATCGAGGGGGCTCCGGCGTACACCGTGAGGTCCATCCTGGATTCTAGACGCCGGATGGGGGGTCTTCAATATCTCGTGGAGTGGGAGGGGTACGGTCCGGAGGAGCGGTGCTGGGTGCCAAGGAGGGACGTGTTAGACCAGTCCCTACTGACCGATTTCCATCGGGGTCATCCTGCGCGCCCTGCTCCGCGTCGTCCGGGTCGTCCTCGAGCTCCGGGTCGGCGCACGGCTGGAGCCGCGCGTCAAGGGGGGGGTACTGTCACGGTTTCGGCCGAGGCTGCTCCTCTTCCTTGTTCGGGCGGACTTCGGCGGTCGTCGTCTCCGGAGTACTAGCTGCCACCGTTCGATGTTTCTTGTTCTTTTGGTTTTGTCTGTTCATAACACCTGTCCCTTATTTGTGTCTTGATTGTTCCCCTTATTTAGTTTGTTTGTTTGGGTCAGGTGTTATGCGTGATTGTTTATGTCAGCCTGCCTCTTCGAGTTTGTTCTCTCGTTGTGTGTTAATTACGAGAGCTCGCACTGTGTGCGCTTTTCCTTGTTTTCTCGCACTGTGTATTTCGTGCGTAATTGTTCGCGCCACCCGGTTGGGTTGGCGACTTATACTTGTGTTTGGACTTAGTAAAGTTCTGTTGACGTCCTCCTGGTTTCCTGCGCCTGATTCCTATCATCCACCTACACCATTCTGACAGGAGTGGCCTAGCCAGTCTCCAGACCTGAACCTAATAGAACATCTTTGGAGGGAGCTGAAAGTCTGTATTGCCCAGCGACATCCCCGAAACCTGAAGGATCTGGAGAAGGTATGTATGGAGGAGTGGGCCAAAATCCCTGCTGCAGTGTGTGCAAAGCTGGTCAAGACCTACAGGAAACATATGATCTCTGTAATTGCAAACAAAGGTTTCTGTACCAAATATTAAGTTCTGCTTTTCTGATGTATCAAATACTTATGTGATGCAATAAAATGCAAATTAATTACTTAAAAATCATACAATGTGATTTTCAGAATTTTTGTTTTAGATTCCGTCTCTCACAGTTGAAGTGTACCTATGATAAAAATTACAGACCTCTATATGCTTTGTAAGTAGGAAAACCTGCAAAATCGGCAGTGTATCAAATACTTGTTCTCCCCACTGTATGTATTAATTCATTTCTAAGGTCTGAAACTCCTGTGATGCCCACTGTGTCTGATGCAGGAGAATGCCATGGAGTGTGGAGGAGCAGCAGGCCTCTCTGCCCCCCTCACAGCAGCACTGCTCCCCCTACTGGCCACTCATTAGCAGATGACCACACCGCCCTCGGGGCCCACCGTCCTACACCCAACACTGGAGAGATTGATAGACTGGCACACCATCAAATGATGACAACGCACAGGGAGCCTCGCCAACAAGAACAACTTGCTCATAACTAACTGAGTTGCTTATTACCAATAGAGAGACTGCCCAATTATAAAGCATCTCCCTGACCAGCAGAGAATTAATGAATTAGAAGACATTGTTCATGAGAAACAGAACAATATTCCAAGGGGAAAACCATATTGACATTAGACTGAAAAAAATATACCTGCGAGCAGCAATGAACGGGGTTCACAGGATGACAGAAAAGACACAAGATAAGTTGGATAACAAAGCAAGCACTCTATAATGTAGGAACTATCTTCCTTTATGTGCAATCAGTGAAAACATTAACATATTGATTTAAATTTCAGTTGGTACACTCCACATTAGCGTTCCAAAATACTTCAGCACACTCTCACAGCTGTAATAAGCTGACTGTGCAAGTGGCAAGACAGAATTTTACATAATAAAATATCCACTTTTCGCTATGTTTAGACAACATAATACGGTCAACGATATGTGATTATACGGATATACTAATCACAGTATTTGACATAATTTAAATCTTAACATTCATTTACACGAGACAAAGTCCACTTGATCAATAGTTATTGCTTTAGTATCCTATGGTGGCACTGGTGCCGATGAGATCTATAGAGCCACTAACTGGTCTGGTGCAGCCATCTAAGGTTGCAGTGACTTTATATTCACATAGCTTTTGAGGACATAAGGTTTACATACCACATTTCATTGCCCCTTGTCCATCGGCTCAGTTCTTATAGCCAGTTGCCCATGGTGGAATTATCTACAAGGCTTGACATTAACTTTTTCTGCCACTTCAGACAAGTAAGACTGATTTTTTTTACTTGTCTGAACGGTTAAGGAGAACTGGCCAAAACCTTCCTCTGTAAAGGTGAGTGCAATGCGGATACTTGCAAAGGCTACAAGTCCAACGTTCATCAAAGCACAGCTCCCCTGCAAAGACCTGCCTGTGACAAATCCACTCCTCTGCTAAAACCTTGGCGATGGAGTAGGCTTCTTCGTTGGGAAGAGGAAACTCCTCTGTCCATTTCGAGAAATAATCTCAGACTAAAAGGATGTACTTATTCCCATGGCTGGTTAGAGGGAGGGGACCCAAGATATCCACAGTTATACGTTTATACGGCAGAGAGGTGGCGTGTTTAGGGGTGCACAGGGAGGCCGCCCTTGGGCTTTACGAGACATGCAGTCCACACACGAGATCCCAAATCTAGAAGCAGTTTAGCTAACGCGTTCTGTTTTACAAGAAAACGGCTGAGATTACGCAAACACTTTAGCTAGCTAGCAAGGCCTCCTCAGCAGCAATGTTATTTAATTTGAATTTAACTGTCATTGCAGTTGGTGGTCATTACTGGTTTCAGATGGCGAGTGAAACTGTCCGCCATGTTTTGGTAAGGGCTCGGATTGACGTCACGCACCAAAGAAGCCTCAAAACCAAATACGACAGATAATAACTTTCATGACCGGATATGCAAATACCTTACATCTCCCAAAAATGTATGTCAGGGGATTTAAAAACAATCTAAGAAATAGAAAAAAAGTGATTTGTTAATAGTTTCCTTATTTTTTTAATTGAATGAATAAATCTCGATGCTCCTGAACACATCAGTGATGTAACTTGGAGTCATAGGTTGTTCCGGGTCAACATCACACACCCTCACCCAGGCGACCCAGCCAATGTTGATCAGACCCTGACTTGTCTCCATGTGGCATTACGCTGCTCCCCATGGATCTCATCTCTTGATCCAGAGCCATCTTGAGGCTTTTTCAGCTGCCTCGATGGTGTTGCTGATGGCTCTCCTCCTCTTCGCTCCATTGATGCCAAGTGTGCTGTAGGCTCTGTAGAGGGATTGCCCATCAAAACCCTTGCAGCCTACCTCGATAGGCATGCACCTAGCCTTCCAACCCTGCTTCTGACAGTCCATGACCAGTCCCTCGTACTTCGCCCTCTTCCTCTCGTATGCCTCCTGAAGACGAACTTTCCAAGGGACTGTCAGTTCCAGAATAATGATGGTCTTTGTGGACTGAGACCAGGGTTGTCTTGACAATGTGCTGCAGGAAGTTGAGCTGCTTCTCCAGGTCTGCTGTCAGCTGCCAGTCCAGAGCAGTAGCTAGGATCCCTGCTGGTGGTCTGGATTTTGAGCCTGGCTGCTCTCCAGCTCGAACGACAGTGATCTTCTGACAGGTGTCCCGAGCTCGCTTGCTCTTGCCGATTCCTGTGTCGATTGCTTCTGCGATGGTCTTGAGAACCTGGTCATGGCGCCAGCGATAACGTCCCCCTCCCAGAGCTTTAGGTCAGCACCGCCAGTGTTCCTCTCTTGGAGCAGGAGATTCCACAATGTCAAACTTAACATGGTTCATAACGGTAATGTCTTTGATGACCCTAAAACGTTTGAAGTTGAATGGCCATTGTGAAGTGGATTTACAAAGGATTTAAATGGATACGTGAAATCTGATTTCAGATTTATCAATAACTTAACCATCTCAGCCATCTCTTAACCAAGCAAACCACGTTTTTTCAAAGATTTTCCAAAATGTCAAAAATTTTCCTGACGGACCTTATGGGTCTTTGAGAAAAATGTGTGCAGCATGAGGAAAGACACCTACATACAAATGTTCCTGTCTCTAGGTCAAACGGGGCAGCAGATATGAAGGTTTAAGTTAGACTGCTTATATCAGCGCCACCTATAGGCCAATCGGTGCAATTCTTTTTGACCAAGTTACTCCAGTTTCTGTGTGCAAAATTAGAATAAAGTTATCTATGCTTGAGTTATTTGACCATGTCAAGGGGAAATAAAATCTAAGAATAACAATAGGTTTCACAGCTTCGCTCTGGACCCCTAATAAAGGATGAGAAAGCACTGTGACTGCAATGATGAGATCCTGAGAGCATTACAGACACCTAAGTGGATGACAGAGCAAAGAAAACCAATATCCCTGTCTACTGTACATGCACTGGATGATTTAGACAGGAAGTGCAAAAAATGCTAATGTTTGTATCATTGATTTGCATTGGATATGTACTACAAATTCTAAAAAGTTAGCATTTGGAAACAGTGGCCAGGTAAATAAAACCAAAGCATGGATTGTTGTCATACCTTGTCTAAAGGCTGCTTACAGGGTAAGGAAACCAATGTGTAAATGTGTAATTTGGTTGAACTATCCCTCTAATAGGAGTTCCTGCAATGCATTTGATGTGATATAAATACACTTTTTATTTTAAAGAAAACTATGCTTTTGTCATCTCTTAAAAAAGCAGCTTGGGCAGCAACATCTGGGGGCTGCTTGGAGAATGAGAATAAAACCAGTTTGGTCCCAGATGGACAGCCCAATTGAAAAACACATTTACAGCCTACTTATTGCCCAAGCGGGCGAATTGAGGACTTACCCGCATGGGTCCCAGGTGTTTACCCAAATGGGTTACATCTGGGTAATCCATTTGGGTAAACACCTGGGACCTATGCAGGTAAATCCTCAATTTGCCCACTAGGGCAATTTATGGAGCCCAACATGAACCCGCATGAAGCCCACATGGCAGCCACATGTTGCGCCAATGTGGTTATTGAGGACAAAACTTTGTGGGACCCTTGTGGTTATCCTTCATGGGGGTCCAAGTGTTAACCCTTCTTTAACCCACCTGGGTAAAAATCTGGGGCCCACATGGGTTATCACACATTTGCCCACTGGGGTCCCTCAATAAGCCCAACATGAACCCACATAAAGACCAACATGGCAACCACATGTGGGGCCAACGTGGATACTGAGGACAAAACTTGGTGGGTCACTGTTGGGTTTCTCTAATGGGGCCCGTGAAACAGCCCTTCATTAACCGATATGGGTCCCACATGGAAATGTTGACTGAGAAGTTGGAGCGAGATGGATTTTTGGCCGTCATTCTGCTAATTTTATCATCGATTAAACATTTGATCTCAATACAGGTTTCTGTTCCCAAAACTAAAATCAGTTTTGAACAGACTGGACTAAGTTTTGCAGAATTTTGCAGACTAGCTTTTGGCAATGTTTCTAAAAATGATGTTGTTTAGAAGGAGTGCAAGGGCAAATTGAGTGAATAGTTCATAGTTTCCTTATTTTTTAGGTTATCAATGTAATGTCTTTGATGACCCTCAAAAGTTTCAAGTTGATAGGCCATTATGAAGAGAATTTAGAAAGGATTTAAATGGACAAATCTGATTCCCTGATTTATAAATAACTCTGCCATCTCTGAACCAATCACTTGGCTTAGCTAAATTAAGAGATGTACCAAGGGCCTACATAACGAATTTGGTGTTATTTGTACCTACAGTGTGTTTCCTGAGAATACATTTTTCAAAGGTTTGAAAATATTTCCAAGATGGAGGAAAATCTATCCTGTCCTTGAGGCAAATTTGTCCAGCATGAGGAAAGACACCTACATACAATGTTTCAAGTCTCTAGATCAGGGGGGGGTATTAAACAAATGTTGCCCCGGGGGCTGCATTCGGTGATAAACGAGGTCCGGAGGACCGCACTGACAATCATTTATATGTCCTTGCCATCAAAAATTTCCCTAAATAGTCTTCTATCCATCGTTTTTTGAAATTGTTATGAACCCTGACTGTCTAGCTTTCATTTGGGTGATTATAAGCAAGCTAGACAATAAACTGGATGAATGTAGGTCTATTATTATTTCTAAAGTTTCGATTTGGTTTTAGTGATTTTAAAGTACAGTACAATCGGAAAGTATTCAGACCCCTTGACTTTTTCCATATTTTGTTACTTTACAGCCTTATTCTAAATTGGATTAAATCGTTTTTTCCCCTCACCAATCTACCTACACACAATACCCCATAATGACAAAGCAAAAC